CTAAGTAAACCGTCTCAAGTAATTAAAGGGCCCCAAGTAGGGAAAGCAGATCAACTAAGTCCCCTACACTGTAATACACCATTCTGCAATCATCTCGTCAATATGGCATTCAGCCGTGAAGTATATACCCTTTGAGCAAGCAGTTTAATCCTCTCTAAGAGAACTGGGCACAGAGGAAAATGACGAAGGGGAAATGGGGTAGCAGCAAACTGTAGAAGCTATTGGTTTACATCATAGAGACGGCCCCCTGCTTCTACTCCTGATCCAACAGCTGATGATTGTACAGGTTACTGCACTTGAGCCGAGATGACTACAAAACAAAGAAAAACAGAAATGTTTTCAAACTCTTGCTGTTTTTTTTTTCACAAAAGTGCCCATTTTGTCTCCCCTAATATACAACATAGCTTAGACACCTTTTCCAACCTTTCCTTGATTTACTTAAAAGTGGAAACATGCCAAACAAGTTTCTTTTGATACTGCTTTGATGTTTTCATGTTTGACAAAATTATCATGTGACCCTTCGAAATGTGCTTTGGTTATTATGTAAAGTGGAAAAAAAATTATTTAACAACTATTCTATCTACTAGTCCCAAAATAACTTTAGGAACCGAGAGTAAAAATTTATCCTTGATGTGCTATATTGTGCAACTTTTTCAGACTATTACTTGACCCTGTGTTTACTGAAAACACATGCATATGAATCAAATATTGACATCCTTCCTAAAGATCAAGAGAAAAAAGTGAAGCAATGATATAATTTGACCCTTGAAAATATCACAAGATTTGAATTAATCCAGCTTTTTTTTTTTTACAGGATTCAGTTTGCTTAGTCAAGCTATTTTTTTAGTTACTTTTTTTGATACATAGAAAAAAAAAAACAACAAACTTATAGAAAAGATTCAGATTTTGCAATTTTTAAGCTTGTGACATTTTAAGGTTTAAATTTTTTTCATTGCTCACTAAAAAGAGAGATAAAGTAAAAGGGATATCTTTTTTAGTCTATAAGAAATCTTAGCCTGTCTAATTTTTTAGACAGGCTAAGATTGTAGTTATCAAAATGATCTTTACCTTGCTATTGGAGTTAAATACCAAGGATGATAGTCATGAGTTATTGGACAAGGTTCAGCTCTCAGAAGTGGTTATTCATTACATAACCATATATCACACACACTGGAGGTACTTGACTTCCATCTCCTTGTACCATAGTACACTCATGGTGGCCTTGAAGTAAATGAAATCAGCAGCTCAACCTCTCATTTCTTCAATAAGCTGCTCCTACTGAAATCTTCAAGCAAAGACTTGGTACTATTCCTTGTTACGTGTAAGATGTATAGGCCAGCAGTTCTGGGTTTTTGTACACTTTGCCTTCTGTACGGTGCTTTGATACTTCAAGTAGGTAGCAACATGATAGGTTTTCTTATCATAGCTAGAATGCTTGTCTCCAATGCATCCCATAGCATATATACTTCATATTTTGATTCAGTATTTGCATGTTCTGTAAACTAAATATAAAACAGAATGTTACTTTCTTAGTATTGGTAAATATTATCATTTTGAATAAATTAAACTCTGTTGAATTTTTCTAAGCATGTTAAATTGGACAAAACATAGTTAAACAACAGTAATTGGTGGATTATTCCAAAACATTATTTCAGAAGTAAGGAAGGGTTAAACTTTCTACCAAGATGCAACTACGAGACAAACTACTTTAATGATATCCCGCTCTTCTATACGAAGATACTAGAATTCTTCAACGAATTAAAAACTCTTTACTCGTATGATCAAAACCAGTAGTTAATATTGTTTATTTGTATTGCTAGCATGAGTAACCTACCTTGTAAGTATCGTAAGTATTGTTCTGTAAGTAGAGTAGCGTCATGAGTCTGGCATTGTAAGTAATGTTTTGTAGAATTGAGTTTTGTAATAAAAGCAAAGGTTTCAAGAAATATATATATATATAGTATTTATAATTTGTCTTATTGTGTGCTCACTTTGACAAATAATTGCAACATTTCGCCCACACACTCAGAGCAAGAAAAAATACCTCTTTCAACTCACTTGTCCCTACTTTGATACGTGGATTATTCATTTTACATGTATGGACCAGAAGCTTACCTGTCCAAAGTAAGAAGACCATGAAGCTTCATATCGCCCCAAGTATATCTCAACATCTTGTTCAGAAAGCTTCTTGACTTGGCCCTGGGTGAGAGGCACACCAATCATTTCCTTTGCTTTTCCACTTGCAATGAGAATGGCAAGTTGTTCTTTATGTTCTGCCGCTTCACAGGCTCGTGAAAGGCTCAAGTCATTTGCTGGTTAAACCTCGAGAATGTTCAGAAAATTATTAACAGGGTCTTTTTCATTAATATCCATTTTCTATGTTAAATTTCCAAATTTTTACTGAATACATGGCGAGGTGAGAATATGAGATGTGAACATTTTGCTCTCTTTAGATGCCGGTTGTGGAATGGGTTGACCAGTAGCCGTTGGAATGACGTTCTTAAGGTTGTGAGACATTAGACACTGGGCTGGTGAATACTGCTATCTCTGTTGGGGAGGTTTCCTCATGCCAAAAGAGTCAAAAGTCAAGCCAGGTACTGGTCCTCAAAACGAGATTTCTTGAGACTTGTATATGACTGTAATGGCTGTCCTAGCTGATGTATTTCTTAGAGACTTAAGTTCCATGTGGTCACTATAGTGGTCCAGAAGCACAAGATAACTATTGCCATTTTGTTGAAACATAGACAGTGTTTACCAATGGCCGAGATAGTATGGCATGTGAGTGTATGGGTTTTTTTCCACCACAATACGAGCATGTTTACCTAAATTCTACTTGCATTCCTGGCCAACAAAGAGATTTCTGTGCTCTTTGTATACTATTATCTCTACCTTGGTGCGCTTTCTGTATCTTTGATAAGATTTCAGGTCACATCAAGGTGATAATAATGACTTGATGAGGTTTGAACAGTACTCCACACTGTACTACCAGTTTTTATTCAACCAGCTGTTAACATTTAATATTTTATCATGTTCTAATTAGTGCTGTCTACTAATGTTATTTACCTGCATTGTTTTGAAAGTGAATTAAATCTTGGAAAAAGTGGAAGAGTTAGATGCACCCACCTCAGTTTCATCTCTGCAATAATTTCATCTTCTTAAACTTTCTGATGTCAAAGTCTTCTGAACTAACAGGTAACTGTGCAAATAAAAAATAAAATGATTATAAAATTATAAAACGTAAACCAAATCCTACAGAAAACTTATAGCCTCTATCAATATAAAGGGAAGGCTCATTATTCATAGGGGCCTAGATAGAGTGCCTGCATTTCTAAAAGCCATAATGCAGATTGTTTAACATTTCAACATTTAAACCAAAATATCTCTGCCAATCCATCACTGTTTAAATCATCACATATTACATTGTTTCCTATCACCTTCGGATGCAACAAATGGAACAGAAGAATAAAGTTACTATTTTTGCCTCTGCTTTTACATGTCTTCTAAAAAATCAAAAACAGCAATTTCACTTGTAGATAGGTCACTACTCTCTTACACTTTGAGATGTAAAATCTCTCTTTAATATTGTTTAACGCAGCATATAATGTTTATGGTGCCAATAATCAATAGGTATTATAGTTTGTCTCACTATGTGCTAACTTTCAAATATAACTGCAACATTTCAACCACATATTGAGAGCAAGAAAAATATCTCTTCAAACTCACTTACCCCCTACTAGGACAATTGCACAATTTATTCGACTTGTACTGACCACAAGCTTACTTCTCCAAAAAAGAATGATTTTACTACGTAATCTAGTTTTAATTTTTATCTTTCTTCCCTACAAACTTTTGTGACAGTACCAATTTGCTTCTCACTTTTTAACTGCACTTTTTTTTGATACTGCAGTTCATTTTACTTAAATAAATTTAGGGTATCTATTACCTATTCAAGGGGAAGAGGGTGCCGTTAATCTGATTTTGTGAATGAAAGAAAATGAAAGTGGAATATCTGGGCAGCAAATAAACTGTTCTCAGAGCTGTCTTTCTGATAGATATCAACGAGTAGCACTACAAGGCACCTATTCCGACTCGTTACAAGTCTTGTCCGGTGTTCCGCAAGGCTCAATATTGGGCCCTCTGCTTTTCCTTGTCTATATAGACGACATTCCTCAATGTATTAAACATGACTCTAAAGTTGCCATATTTGCAGACGATTCTAAGCTGTTTAAGATAATTGAAAAACCATCGGATAAATTTTCAACAAGACCTAACGCAGCTCTCAATCTGGAGTGATACCTGGGAAATGTGTCTCAGCATACCCAAATGTAAGGCCTTGAATATCTCTAGGAAGAAAACTCCCACAAAATGGGAATACCACCTTAACGGGTGGCATAACTGTCACCAATACTCTCCAATGGTCTCAACATATAAAGCTGATTTCCTCTAAAGCAAACAGAACGCTTGGCCTTATTCGTAGGGTCTATAGAGATATCAATGATCCTGACATCAAGAAACTTTTATACTACTCAATTGTTCGACCACAACTAGAGTACGCTTGTGAACTATGGTCACCTTACACGTCAAAGGACAACCTTTTGCTAGAAAACGTTCGGCGCAGGGCCACAAAGTTTATCTTGAATTATCCAAGGGATATGTCCTACAGGGATCGGCTGCTTAAACTTTCTCTATTATCACCAGAATAACGAAGGGAAATGAAAGACTTGGTACTTATCTATAACGCTAGAGCAGGCTACATTGATCTGGGTCACCACGACTTTTTCCGTCAAACTGTAGTTCGGCAGAAAACGCGTAATTCGAGTGAATTAAATTCTCAAATACCACGCACAAAACAAAATAACTTAAAACATTCGTTTTATTACAGGTCTATCAATCTTTGGAACAAATTACCGAGGGACATCAAAAGCGTAGACTCATTTCATTCTTTTAAAGGAGGCTTTTAGATTTTTACGATGAAAAAACCGTTTCTTATAATCTTCCAA